CAGTACACGGATTGGAATCAACAATGTTGTGAGTGTATTGTTCAAGCTGAATCAGAAGGAAATGCCAATGCAATGAATTACAACGGCGATGAAACATGGGATATTGGTTTATTTCAAATAAATCAACGAAATTTTGCCTCCTGTAACAGTGGTAAATATCCATGTGATCCACAGCAGAATTTAGCTTGTGCAAGAAAAGTATGGCAATGGGGTGGCAGAACATTCAAGCTATGGGCTACAGTTGGACAATGTAATAGGAAACTTGGAAAGCGATGTGGCTGAGCAACAGACAGTTTGAACCGAAAACAATGAATCTTGTGACAGTCATTTCTTGTTCATCATAATTAATCATGAGTAAAAATGAAGTTTCTTTCTGGTTCTGAATGTCTTAAAACGGGTCTGACACAATAAAGAACCTGTTTTTTATATTCGCTAAAATAATTAGAATGAAACAAATGATTGATTTTAATTCAGATAAACTATGATTATGGGGATAAAGATTGATTATTTTCAAAGTATTACAAATATGAAAAGATTCATCATTTATGATCATAATAAAGCTCACATAAGTATAGAACTCGAAGATTTGGTTCAATTTAAAACGAATTGTTCAATTGAAATGAAGCTAGAAATCTCAAAATTCAAAATTCAAATCTGACTTGTTCAACTGAAAACTTCGAATTTCAAATTTCAAGTTTAAGGATTCGCGCGAGGACCGTTGAAGGACGAGCTTCAAACAACAATGACCCTCGCACGAATCAATTTGACTTCATTTGAAACTTGAAATTTGAACAGCCTTCAACTGAACAAATCAGATTTGAAATTTGAAATTTGAGATTTCTAGCTTCATTTCAATTGAACCAAATCTTCAAGTTCTACACTACTGAAAGTTCAAACAATATTCAATAGATGCATATTGAATAAATACCACATTGATTTATTTATTCTGAGACAAGAAAAGTCGCTCTACGTCTTTGCTCTCTCCTTGAGGGTGTGGGTGTAGGTGAGGGTAAAGAGGATACTAACACTCATCCACACCCACACCCAAACAACCTCAAACAACTAAACTGACAGCACCACACTCTCAAATATATCACATAAATGCTGAGTAAAGAGGAACAGTTCTTAACACAAGACCCATATTATCTTCATATATGCTACTACCTATTGACTAATTATACCACGGGTATATATATATCACAGAATAGAATGAGTGCCATTCACTCGATGATACTAGACCCATCCACATGACACATCTGCACCACAAACATTGATAGAAACGAGAGAAAAATTACATCTCGATGCAAAAAACATCGCACAAAATACCATTCACACCAGACACCAAAGGAAAAAAAATATACATATCGGATCACATAAAAAAAACCATACCAGTAACAGCGAGAAGGAATGCACCGGAATATACCAGATCCACACATACTCACAAACGAACACAAGATCAGAATAAAAAAAATACACATAACAAAAATGTTTGATCACATGCAACCATAAAAAAGAAAACTAAATTTTCATTAATCTGAACCTAACAACAATAAATTACGACTCCCAAAAAAAACAAAAGACATACAAAAGAACGTGATATTCTATCATCCAAAAAACCTTTTACCAAGAACTCCTCCACGGAGAACACTAAAAACATTAAGGACATTCAACACAAACTAAAAAAATTAACTATCCTCGTTTCCAATAAAATAATCCTACACACAAAGCTAATTACAAAACACTCTTCATTTCTAACCCTCAAATAAGAGCAAACTCCCACGTAAAAGGCACTAAAAAAATCTTAACACAAAAAAAAGATCATCAATCTCAAAAAAAAACAACAGACCAGTTACACAGACCAAAACGAGATAAAAAACAATAACATACTGATGATGGACAGGAGCATGTCCGAAAGCTCTATAAAACTTTATATAATTCATAGTTATTGTTATTACTGCTCGATTATTCATTTAATTTATCTATTATATATAAATCCTATATTGAATATAATCATACTGAATGATAATATCTGTTGTTCTCAAATCCTTCTTTTCAATCAGTGCAATTTTCTTGTTTGTTATCTCAATAACGACGCTCATTTCGTACCTTTCTCTTGTGTTTTTTTTCTTTTACGTGGAATAGAATGTATTTAAAAAGTAGAAGTTTTACTTTTCCATGATATTAGAAGACCGTTATACGCAAAATTGAAATTTCAAAATAAAAATACTATTTTCATTAAATGTTTGAAGTATCTTGAAATCGATATAACAAAAAAGCTCGAATGGGAGAACTTAAATCCAAAACCATTCTTAGGAAATAAGAAAAAATTCACAGCATTCTTCGAATATTTTTTTCAATCAGCTATGAATAAAACTGCTGGTGACTTATACATTATCACATTTAATCTGATTTCGTTAAGTTGGTTCTTTTTTTTGTAGTACAACAGAGACTGATTAGACACATCCTATAGCCTAGGAATATGCATAAATTATAGCCTCACTTTTTCAGACGATCTTACAGTTTATACTATATTAAAAAAAGTATACAATAAATGACTATGTATCGAAATATTGCGAGATATTCGATAAATATCTATCAATGCACTTTAGAATCACATGAGCCCTAACTAACTTTTCTTTCGTGCTTCGCTGTATGAATTCCTGAGAGCATTGGTAGTGTAGTATCAGCATGCGCAAAATAATAAATTGTTGAATCAGTTATCTATGAGTATAGTTTCGTTCACCACCCATATCCACACCCACAAACCCACTCACACCCGAGCTTGTATAAAGGAGTAGTTCGACTTCTTTCAAGAAAAATATTTCTCTATTAAAACAATATCAGTTGACAGTTTTAGAATATCTGATTCGGGGTTTAATTCATCTTCTTTTTAATTCCAGAGCTGAGATATATCTGAGTTTTAGGCTACCAATAAAATCGATTACAATTTTTTCAACATTAATAATTGAAACACTACAATTAGCGTGAAATTATTCTATTGAAAATAATAAAACTAAACCTTTCACATCAGTGTTCGAACGATTCTTTAAGTATCACTAAATTATTTCGTCAAAAGCATTGACCTGGTTTTAGGTATTATTCGAGATGAATAATTTGTTTTCGATTATCCGATGCTCGGTATTTTAGAACCCTTTAGTATCTAAGCCTTTCAAATGAGGAACTAATATTATGTAACAGTATCTTCATCTATTGATGGGGTTTTCTAATAGAGCGAATTCTCATGTTCTAATAATATAATGCAGACGTATCATTCTCTTTGGGATTATGTACTATTGTTATCTCAGATTAGTATCATACTAGAATAAAATAGAATCGGATCAAATATATAGATATTATTCTTGGCTACACTGCTTAGTATAAACCTGCAATAATTGTAAAACAACGATTCAATAGGGTTTAGAAAGTATTACATGTTTATATCGCAAGACTATTCCTAGTTTTTTTTTGCAAACTATTGTTTATATGTACACAATAACAGGCGATGCTCCCTAACATAATAGAATTTGTACGTCAAACGCGAAGATTTGAAAATAGAAATTCATTAAAACTTTTTGATGATATCAATGCTGCTCTTCTTTATTGAACGCTAAATTTTGTTAGTCTTACCAAAGTGTTTTCTCATTGTCGGAAAGCTTGAACTGCAGCATAAATTAAAAAAATGTGCATTTCTACTTGCAATACTATAAGAAAACTTTCATCACTTGTGTAGCTCGAATAAACTAAATTCTTATCGGCAGAAGAAGGCTGTCCTCCTGTATTATATCAAAAATCGAAGTTTAGTTATTAATTATATTGCTAATAATTTATATGGTCATCGAATTACGTATGTCAAGTTTAAATGAAGAAGTTGCTTAATTGTTGAAAAATAGATAATTACTAATTTTGATTGATTTATGTCATTGCAACGAACTGTCTTTCAACGAAGTGTCCATGCGCAGAATTGTCCTAGCATCCTTTTGTAGAACGTGAAAAACTGCTTCGATCTGTGTAATTAATTTTCACATCCAGATTAAAACACAACAACAACTATAGACATTACGATTATCATCCAAAACACTGAATATTTACAAAAAGCCCATAGACCTCAAAATAACGTGATCTTGGAAAAACTTTTCTCTGTCCAAGAAAAAAGAAAACTAAATATACCGAAAGGTGTAGAGCTTCAAGCTCTGTCTTTCTATCATACTGAAAATGAAGACTGAGGGATGGCAGATTTACCATGAAATCCTGCGGTATGCTTTAAATAACTGAAATTCAGTTAGATTATCAAACGTAGCGCTATAAAATTTGTATACAACTACAGAAAGATCATCTATTGTAACAGTTTTTCGAAAATTGTTCGCAAAATCTGAAAGATATAGATTCCACATAAGTAAACAAAAAGATATCTCTTCAACTGAATAATTCTTAAAATAAGGATGTGCATATGAATGTGACTGCGGATGCGGATGTGTGGCTGCGATGTGCATGCGAGCCTAATGGGTACTGTGTGTCTCGCTATCAGTGTTGCCAGGCTGACTGCCTCAGATGCACTCATATCCCACTTCGCAACGACAGCTATATCTACACCCACACTCACACGCGCACATTCACAATAGCAGCTTCCGAGTTCTCTAAATACAACTGGAATCCAAAGCATCGCGCTTAAAAACACCACAACTCTGATTCAACTTCCCCATCTCAAGAAAAACCCGATGAGGATCCTAATCAAAACTGACATCTCAAGAAAAATCCGATGAGGATCCTAATCAAAACTGACATCTCAAGAAAAACCCGATGAGGATCCTAATCAAAACTGACATCTCAAGAATTTTATTTTTGCAGAAATAAAACATAAAACTACTAAAATCTGTTTTCTAAATTTTCAATGTTTCTTTTCACAAGTAACATTTGAGGATGAGTAGAAGGCACCGACTTTCTCATAATCTCAAGTGATCTTTCGTACGACAAAAGTGCTTTCGAATATTCGCCCATCTTATCATACACCATACCGAAGTTGTTGTAGGAAGTAGCCAAGTCGGGATGATTCGGAGGGAGAGCTATTTTTCGGATTTCAAGTGATCTTTCGTATGATGAAAGTGCTTTTGAGTACTCGCCCATGTTATCATACACCCCTCCGATGTTGTTGTAGGAAATAGCCAAGAAGGGATGATTCGGAGGGAGAGCTACTTTGAGGATTTCAAGTGATCTTTCGTACGATGAAAGTGCTTTGGAGTACGCGCCCATGTGAGAATACACCATACCGATGTTATTGTAGGAAGTAGCCAAGTCGGGATCGTTCGGAGGGAGAACTACTTTGTCGATTTCAAGTAATCTTTCGTACGATGAAAGTGCTTTGGAGTACTCGCCCATGTGAGAATACGCCATACCGATGTTATTGTAGGAAGTAGCCAAGTTGGGATGGTTCGGAGGGAGAGCTATTTTGTCGATTTCAAGTGATCTTTCTAACGATGAAAGTGCTTTGGAGTACTCGCCCATGTGAGAATACACCATAGCGATGTTGTTGTAGGAAGTAGCTAAGTCGGGATGATTCGGAGGGAGAACTATTTTTTGGATTTCAAGTGATCTTTCGTATGATGAAAGTGATTTCGGGTACTCGCCCATGTGAGAATACAACATAGCGACGTTGTTGTAAGAAGTACCCAAGGAGGGATGATTCGGAGGGAGAGCTATTTTTCGGATTTCAAGTGATCTTTCGTATGATGAAAGTGATTTCGAGTACTCGCCCATGTTATAATACACCCCTCCGATGTTGTTGTAGTAAGTAGCTAAGTTGGGATGATTCGGAGGGAGAGCTATTTTTCCGATATCAAGTGATCTTTCTAGCGATGAAAGTGCTTTCGAGTACTCACCCATGTGAGAATACACCATAGCGACGTTGTTGTAGGAACTAGCCAAGGAGAGATGATTCGGAGGGAGAGCTATTTTGAGGATTTCAAGTGATCTTTCGTACGATGAAAGTGCTTTCGAGTACTCGCCCATCTTATCATACACCAAAGCGATGTTGTTGTAGGAAGTAGTCAAGTCGGGATGATTCGAAGGGAGAGCCATTTTTCGGATTTCAAGTGATCTTTCGTACGATGAAAGTGCTTTTGAGTACTCGCCCATGTTATCATACACCATAGCGATGTTGTTGTAGGAAATAGCCAAGAAGGGATGATTCGGAGGGAGAGCTATTTTGAGGATTTCAAGTGATCTTTCGTACGATGAAAGTGCTTTCGAGTACTCGCCCATGTTATCATACACCCCTCCGATGTTGTTATAAGAAGTAGCCAAGAAGGAATGACTCGGAGGGAGAGCTATTTTTCGAATTTCAAGTGATCTTTCTAGCGATGAAAGTGCTTTCGAGTACTCGCCTATGTGAGAATACACCATAGCGATGTTGTTGTAAGAAGTAGCCAAGTCGGGATGATTCGGAGGGAGAGCTATTTTGGAGATTTCAAGTGATCTTTCTAACGATGAAAGTGCTTTCGAGTACTCGCCCATGTGATAATACACTGAAGCGATGTTGTTGTAGGAAATAGCCAAGGAGGAATGATTTGGAGGGAGAGCTATTTTGAAGGTTTCAAGTGATCTTTCGTACGATGAAAGTGCTTTCGAGTACTCGCCCATGTGAGAATACGCCATACCAATGTTGTTGTAGGAAATAGCTAAGTTGGGATGATTCGGAGGAAGAGCTATTTTGAAGATTTCAAGTGATCTTTCGTATGATGAAAGTGCTTTCGAGTACTGGCCCATGTTATCATACACCATAGCGATGTTGTTGTAGGAAGTAGCCAATAAGGGATGATTCGGAGGGAGAGCTATTTTTCGGATTTCAAGTGATCTTTCTAGCGATGAAAGTGCGTTCGAGTACTTGCCCATGTGAGAATACACCATAGCGATGTTGTTGTAGGAAGTAGCCAAGTCGGGATGATTCGGAGGGAAAGCTATTTTTCGGATTTCAAGTGATCTTTCGTATGATGAAAGTGCTTTCGAGTACTCGCCCATGTTATCATACACCCTTCCGATGTTGTTGTAGGAAGTAGCTAAGTCGGGATGATTCGGAGGTAGAGCTATTTTGAAGATTTCAAGTGATCTTTCGTACGATGAAAGTGCTTTCGAGTACTCGCCCATGTTATCGTACTCTGAAGCGATGTTGTTGTAGGAAGTAGCCAATAAGGGATGATTCGGAGGGAGAGCTACTTTGAGGATTTCAAGTGATCTTTCGTATGATGAAAGTGATTTCGAGTACTCGCCCATGTTATAATACACCCCTCCGATGTTGTTGTAGTAAGTAGCTAAGTTGGGATGATTCGGAGGGAGAGCTATTTTTCCGATATCAAGTGATCTTTCGTACGATGAAAGTGCTTTTGAGTACTCGCCCATGCGAGAATACACCATACCGAAGTTGTTATAGGAAGTAGCCAAGTCGGGATGATTCGTAGGTAGGGCTATTTTGAGGATTTCAAGTGATCTTTCGTACGATGAAAGTGCTTTTTGGTAGTCGCCTCGTTGGTCTTCGATCATTCCACGGCTATTCTGCACATTTGCTCGCTCGATGTCAGTGGAAGATGTGGCGAGTAGGTGATCACAAATTTCCTGTGCTGTTTTGTAGTGGTGAAGCTTGAGCATCAAATGAACCATACGATTCCAGCCATCCCCGTCGATTTCCTGCCGTATACTATGTGTGAGAATAGATAGTTGTGGATCATCATCGTTGGTGAGACTGAGTTGTACTTCGTATAGGCTGGGATTGTTCAGTACCTGTTTGATTTCGTTGACACGAAAAATCGTGTGCATAGAAAAGAGGATTTCTTCTTCATCCTGATACGAACCCATTGTTTGGATGTTGGCGAAGGGAGTTCTTGAAATTGAAGATGTGATACTCATTATGAAAAGTATACCGACTAAGTTAGCGTCTAATGCGTTACTTTCGGCGAATGCTAGGGAAACTTCTTGATCTTGGCTGGTGGATAAAAAGTTGTTGAATGAGAGGAGACCACCCTTGGTTTTTTTAAGTTTCTCAAAATCGGCTTTGGATAATCCTTGTCCTCGGTATACAAGAAAGGCATCATTGTCTGTTTTTTTAAACTGTTCTTTGTGTAATTGTTCCAGTTGGCAATGAAGATCTCGAATAAAAAAGCTCATATTTTTCATTGTCAGAGTATCCAGTGTTCGAAGTGACCGATTAACCGTCTGGTAAATGAAAGAGTCACGAATATACCAGGAAATTGACGTCTCAGGACTGTAATTCTTCTCGAACTCGTTGATAGTATCCAACGTTATCTTATTGTTGTTAGATTCTTCCCGCCAAAATTGAATAAAATCTGTGATTTCTTCTTGTGTGTGATTGACTTTAAGTGTAATTTCTTTAAATAGCTGTGTGTACATAAATGAGGGTTCTATTTGATCTAGATTAATTTTCAAACTATCTTCGTCGATACTGACAAAGCTCATAGCGATATCGTTTTGGTAACACTGTTTGATTGCATGTAGCAGTGCGTCACAGAGACGGTTGATATCTGTGTATATACCTTTAATTTTGTTGGAATTCTTGTTCCAATCATGGATTAGGGATTCTCTGCTGCAGAAGATATAAACACTCAGAAGACAAGGAATATCATCTACGATAGGTATCATGTCTTGATCTTTATGATTTGACAGAATGAGAAACACCTTTTGATCATTGAAGTCAGTAAGAAAATCTATACCTTCATCACACCTGGTGAAAATATATACTTCATCGGTCACACTTTGCAGCTGTGTTAGTGCATTTTTACACTTTTCATTGTTTGGGTCAATCTTCTCGTCGATCCAGATAATTACATAGCTTTCAGTCATGCATTGTGTTGGCTTCATAACACTGGATAATGTCGTCGTATTTGTTATGGTATCCGTTATGGATGTAGAAAGTATTTCATTCGGTTTTTGCCCATCCATTTTGAATTTATTCGCCGCTTTATAAGAAACTAAAAA